GGCTGGCGGTTCAAACCCACCAGCCACTCCTCGGAAGGAAGGTTGGGCAACCCTACTTCCGTAGTGATACTTCCTCGGAAACCCAAGGAGGGGTCACTATGAGTCGGGGCCGACTCGACGGCACATAACGACAACAACAAAGCAACTATTCACTTAAGTATCTTATTTAAATATTTTATGTATGCTAATAAACAAATTAAATATGGATATATATACTAAAATGATTAAGTTATACTTATTTTAATAATAAATACCACTTACTATTAATATTCAATAAACAATACACAGTTTATCTAATATTAATATAGTAATAATGTCTTACTATATCTAGATATAGAAATAGGTAAATTTTATTTATTTTAATAAATCTCACCATTTATTTACTTAATAAATATTACTTATTTTAATACATTTATATCAAACACAATTTCACTATAAGCACCAAAAAAGACCAATCTTTACGGAAGCCGACTCCCTCATCTTTGTCTTGTGAGCAGCTGAACCCCCAGCCTTCTGATTAGCAGTCCAGTGCTTTAACCACAGCGCCACCAGACCACCTACTGATTATTAAGAGTATGTGAAATATTTTATTTAGTTTGTTTTAATCAAAGGCTTTTTCAATTAAATAAATTTTAGTTTAAGAATATAAATACTAAAATGAGTAAACTGTCTTTATTATTGATGAGTTGTATTATTAAATGTATTGTTAATATTATCCAATAAGTATTTTATTTACTTTAATAATACTATACTATAAGCATGTCAATACTAAACATACGGAAATTTTATTTATTTTAAATTTTAGTAATTAAACTTAACTTACTTGTATTTACTTATTATTTAATAAGTACTGTTTTATTTCTTTAAATTAACAAATTATTTTAAAAAAAGATTTTAGTATAAGTATCCTAAAAACACCTCACTGCCATGGAGTCGATTCTGACTCCTAACGGCCCGCCGTGTTTTTGACGTGGTAAAGCGTTACGGAAGTAGATATTCCTCCTTTCGGGGGCTGGCTGGGAGTTTGAACTGCCAACCGTCTGGTTAGCAGTCAAATGCCTTAGGCAACGCGCCACAGAAAGTAAATTTTTAGTTTAATAAGGATGATTTTTAACATTATTTAATAAACACGAGGCACTCTGGTGGAGTAGTGCCTAAGGCACTTGACTGCTAACCAGAAGGCTGGCGGTTCAAACCACCAGCCACTCCTCGGGAGGAAGGTTGGGCAATCTACTTCCATAGTGATACTGCCTCGGAAACCCAAGGAGGGGTCCCTATGAGTCAGGGCCAACTCAACGGCAGTGAGTTTGGTTTTGTTTTTTGGTTAAAAAATACTATTTTATTTTTATTAATATTTTACTTTAATAAACAAATTTTAGCATAAGCCTACAGGTACTAAAATAAGGACATTTTATTTTAACAAATAATAAATATGACCTATTACTCTTTATTTTAATAAAATTTAAATATGTCTAAAAGCACTCAAAATAAGTAAATTTTATATTTTAAAATATTTTATTACTATATTAAGGGAAATAAATTTGCTCTGTAGACTTTCACCCAAATCACAATTTAAAATGTTTTTTAAATATTAATAACTATATTAAATGAATTTTTATTTTCAAAAATACCCATCTTGTTTTAATTTGTAAATTTTTACATAATCACGTAAGTACTAAAATAACTAAATTTTCTTTCTTTTAATAAATACATAGGTTTTATCATTGTTTAATAAATGTATTTTTGCTTTAATAAATAATTTACTATAAATATTTCTAAGTATGTAAATACATTTTATTTCACTAAGTAATAATATTTATTGTTCAATAAATAAGCATTTTATTCGCTTTAATAAGTTAATTTTCAGTTTGTCGCCCAGGCGACATCCAGGATACAGTAATGCTAAGCAAATATACCCTGGGGACACCTGGGACCTTTCATTGTACCGAGGCCCACCCGCCTGGCCTTTCCCCGTTCCCATTGGCTGGCCTTTCCCCGTTCCCATTGGCTGAGGGCCGCAGCTCCCAGCCCCGCCCCCTCAAGCGGCCCCTCCCTGAGCTGGCCCCTCCCCTGGTCGCCTGACCTGTAGTCCTCGCGGGTGGCGATGAGGCTGGACACGTTGCGCAGGATGCCACCGCCGCTCTCGATGATGGCCAGCGAGTTGCTCTGGCACTTGTAAGTCAGCGTGCTCACCAGGAAGCCCAGGGCGCCGTCCACCTGGCAGATGGCCGCCTTGTTCTCTGTGCTGTGCGCCGAGAGGTTCCACAGAGCGCTGAGCACGCTCTTGAGAGTGGACTCCTGGGGGCAGGGCGGAGGGTGAGGTGGGGGTCAGTGATCCGAAAGCGAGGCAGCCACACCCGTGTCCCAATAAAAAGCAAAGGTAATTAATGATAAATTGGCTACCAGGGGATCTTTGAGTTGCCCCATGCCCATCTAACCAGCGGCCTGTTGGGCTTGATTCCCTCTGCCATGGACAACTCATCATTTGCGTCTCCCTGCGCCATGGCTGACACTAAACAGCCTCCAGGCCCGGGCCTGGTCCCCATACCCTGCCCCCTCTGCAGTGCCCTCTGCCCCCCCAGGAACGGCCTTTGCCCCCTCCACAGGGTCCCCTGTCCCCTGTATTATCCCGTGCCCCCGCAGCGCCCCTCCGCCTCGCCCCTGCCTCTTGGGGGACCCACCTTGGAGGCTCTAAGCACGCACTGCATCAGGGCTGTCATGCTGCCCACCTCCCTCAGCACCTTCTTGCTGTTGATGTCGGCGCGCCAGGACAGGTTTCGCAGGATGCTGGACACCACCTGGGGCCGGGCGGGCAGGTAGGTGGGACAAGGGGCCGGGCCAGGTGGACAGAGTGGGACCAGGCAGCCGGGCTGGCTCTCTGTGTGACCCCTCACCCTATGCCATCAACCCCTGCAAGTGGCGGGGCCACAGAGAGTGTGGCTTACCTATGGCTGTAGGGCAGTGGGGACCCTTGCCCACCCCCACCATGCCCAGGGGTAGGGTAGGCCTTTGACAATGAGAGTCTCTGGCCTGGCCCACCCTCAGCCCCAGGGCACCCCTGGGATCCCTGCAGTACCTGGTGGAGCTCCTCACTGTCTGAGCCCAGCTGGGCCACAATGGCCTCCATACAGCCTCTGCGAGCACACAGGGTGGCCTGCGGGGAAGCAGGAGAGTGACAACCATGACAGGAGGGGCAGGGGGACCTGAGGGGACATCTCCCTCACCGTGCAGCCCCTCCCACAGGAGCTGAGCACCTGGGATGTCCTATAGTGTCACCCCAAGAGCTCTGGTAGCAGAGTGGCTAAGACACTTGCCTGCTAACCAGACGGCTGGCGGTTCAAACCCACCAGCCACTCCTCGGAAGGAAGGTTGGGCAATCCTACTTCCGTAGTGATAACTGCTTCGGAAACCCAAGGAGGGGTCGCTATGAGTCGGGGCCGACTCGACGGCACATAACAACAACAACATTGTGTAACCCCAGCTCCCATCGTCACCCAGGGCCCATGCCCACTGTTCACATGAGAGAACTGAGGCTTCCAGAGGTGCAGGGCCTGGCCTGTGGGTCCAGAGGAGGCCGCTCTGAGGTGACAGTGGTTTCCCGCAGCAGAGGACCTGAGACGGTGTGCCCCTTCTGGCTCCCTCTACCCATTTATAAGTGGAAGACGGCCATCCCTGCCACTTAGGGCTGTTTCAAGGCTGGGGCGAGAGCTTGACAGACTCAGGGTGGTATCAGAGCCCCGCCCATCAGGCACCTTGTTGGCCACGTCCCCAAAGGTGAGGTTGGTGAGGGTCATGCCAGCGTAGCGGCGCAGGGCAAGGTTGAGTGGGTCGCGGGTCATCTTGTGCATCTCGAAGTCCACCTGCAGGAGCTCAGCCACAGCCTGCAGCCCACCTGCAGGGACGCAGGAGGGGACAGGAGGCAGCTGGGGGAGGGGTGTTAAGGTGGGGGTAACCCTAACTTCCCTCCTCTCAGCCTTGGGTCACATTGGTCCCCCTGTTTTGATACCCTTCCCTGCCCTCCACCCTCTCTACATCTGCTCTACTCCAGGCCACCTTCAAAGCCCAACTGTGAGAACACCTCCTCCAGGCAGCCTGCCCTGGCCTCTCCCTGCCAACATCCTTTAGTTCAGAGGAAAACCCTCTCAGGTCTCCCCACCACCCCCAGGATTTGTGGCCCCTCTGATGCCTTTTAGCCACCATATCGCCTCCTTCCAACTCTCATATGCCAGTCACACCTCCTCCTGCTTCAGCACCTATCTTGGGAGTCCTTTCCTCGGGGACACTCCCTAACAGCCCATATGGGATCACTCCCACCAATGGATGGTTCACTCGTGACATGTGCTGTGTGACCCCAGGGAGTCTCCGTCCCTCTCTGGGCCTCACTGCCCAGCCCCACTTGGACAAAATAAAGGAGACCCAGCTCCTGTGCCTACAGCAGAGGTGCAGACAGCAGTGCTGGTGCCCCAGGAGGGCTCCCTGGAGGTGGCGGCAGGGGGACAGGGGAGGAGAGACACTCACCCAGCTCATTCATGGCCCGGCGGTACTCCTCATCAAAGGACAACTTCATGATAGCACAGGTGGCCTGGCAGATCTGTGGCTCAATGGGGACAGGGGCTGAGAACCAGGGGACAGGTCAGAGAAACTTGCCCCTGGCCCCTGCCCCTCTCCACCCTCCCAACCTCAGAGGCCAGGGTCATTCCAGGGCTTTGTAACCTGGGGTTCATCACCCCTCTGTCAACAGAGTAGCTTCCATGGCTGCCTCACCCACTCAGTGTGTGAGGGGAGACAGCCCCTGCCTAGTGTCCAGCTCTGGCCAGCTCTGAGCTGGCCTTTGACATGGATTAATTTTGCCAATGGCTGCAAACAGTAGGAATTGTCAAAGCTTGCACCCACTTCTCAGGGGTTGCCCACTCCCCACCCACCCCCGCGGCCAAGGGTGTTTCATTAGCACGCGCTCAGTGCCTTGTACATCCATCGCTTGTGCTAAGTTGTCACAAAAAGGGATGTGAGGCCGAGGTGATGATGCGCCTGCCGCGCGGAGGCGGGCCCGGCACTCACCGCCGGCGCTGCCCTCATCAGAGCCTTCGCGCGCGCGCAGCCAGTCCCAGCAGGTCTCGCAGTAGGCCCGGATCTGCTCCAGCACGTGCAGCACGCGCATCTCCTTGCGCGCCAGGCCCTGGTCCGGCTGCGAGAACACGATGTTGTGCAGCGCCGCGTTGGCACGCATGCGCGCGTCCTTGGCCCCCGGCGCCCCGGGCGTCCCCGAGCCGCCCCCGGCTCCTGGTCCGGGCTCGGCGCCATGCAGGATCTGCAGCAGCAGCGGCAGGCAGCCCGAGCGGCGCATGGCCACGCAGCTCTCGGGCGAACCGGACATGGCGAGCAACGTGCGAGCCGTGTCCTCCTGGTCACGTGTTGCCAGCATAGACAGCAGCCAAAAGACCACCTCCACCTGCGGGGGAGGGTGAGGGACGGGGTCCGAGGGAGGTTCTCTGCTGCCTGCTGCACCAGGCTAAGATGGATCTGGGGCGTTAGGGGTACCCTGAAACACGAGGAGTCTTGTAACTTCAGCAAACCCCTGCCAGCCTCACCGTGCATCTCCCGCCCCTGAGAGGAGGCCCACACACCTGGGACGGATGGGTGGGGGCGACAGAGGCATACACACTCTGCGGGGAGGACCCCACCCCAGGAGGGTCACGTGCCTCTAAGGCCTCCGCAGGAGGAGCCCCCCACTTCCCGTAATGTAGATGGCGCCATCTAGAGCGCCCCTAACTGTACGGGACAAGTATTCGGCACTCCAGCACCACCGCGAGTCCCGGTTTAAGGCAGCCCCTTGACACCTGGGGGCTGGACGGAGACATTGGGGCTCCACACCCCGTGGGGTCCGGCCCACTCACCGTGCACCCAGTCTGCGTCCAGCCAGAACTGCCCTTACCTTGCTGTTGCCTGGCTGAGGAGCGCCATCATCGGTGTGCGTGGGGACCTCTGTTTCAGGGTCCTCATCCACCGGGACTGACTTCACTGCCAGCAGGGCCTGCGGGGAGAGCACCAGGCTTTGGGGTTCACCTTAGGTTTATCCCACAAAGCCCCTATGCTGATGGGAAGAGCTGCAAGCCGATTACTGCACGCTGGGCTGGGCCTGGGGCGCCCCACTCAGCCCTGCCTCCGCCCTCACGGTACCTGGGGCTCGGTCTGCTGCACCCGGTCCTGCGCCTCCAGTAGCTCCTTGTCTATCTGCTCCAGGCGTGAGGCACGGATCTGCACGGCAGAGACACTTGCTGGGCCACACTGCCCAGGCTCTGACTCCGCCCACCCCCTCTGTGGTTCCACCCACTGTCCAGAGCCCAGCTGGTCCTTCTACAACTCCACCCACTCTGATCTGGTTCCACTCAGTGTCTGCACCTAACCCCCAGACTCTGACTCCACCCACTCTCAGATGGGGTCACGCCCACTGACCAAATGAACATCAATAGCCTGTTTAGATCTGCTTCAACCACTTTCTAGAACCTGCCCTGTCCCTGCGTTCCAGGACTCCACCCATAGTGATCTCTGCTCTGTGATTCGCCCAAAGCATATGACTCCGCCCATGGCGGTCTCTGCCCTCTCAGGCGCCAGCTGATATAAAGTTCCGCCCACTCAACCAGACTCCTCCCACCTCGCAAAGCCCCGCCTCCTGTCTTCCTGGGGCCCACCTGGGCGCGCTGCACCATCTCGTCTGAGGTGCCAAAACGCTCCTCCATCAACGAGCGGATGTGTTGCGCCTCGAACTCCAGCTGCTGCCGGATCAGGTCCATCTGCATCGAGAACTGCTGGCAAGGGCGGGCAGGCCGCTGTGAGACAGCGCTGGGCCAGGGGTCCCTGCACGCCCCAGCTCCAGGCACCCGCCAGGCCCTTCGGCAACCCAGCCACTCACCGTCTCCACGTGTGGCAGCTCGTCCAGACGCTTGGACAAGCCCTGCAGCTGGGAGTAATACCACAGCTTCTCCTTCTCCTCCTTCTCGATCTCGTTCAGCAGGAAACACCTGGGGGCATCATGGCTGTGTTGCTCATTTTGAGGTTGGCCATCACTTGTTATGTGCCGTGGAGGCGGACCCGACTCATAGCGACCCCTCCTTGGGTTTCCGATGCGGTATCTCTATGGAAGTTGATTGCCCAACCTTCCTCCCCAGGGGTGGCTGGTGGGTTTGAACCACCAGCCTCCTGGTTAGCAGTCAACTGCCTTAGGCACTATGCTACCAGGCCATCACTTAGTTAGCGCTTACTGCCTGGTTAAACCATTCGACTGTTAACCAAAAGGTTGGCACTTCAGACACACTTGCCACTCAGCAGGAGAAAGATGAGGCAGTCTGTGTCCGTAAACATTGACAACTTTGGAAACCCTGTGGGGCAGTCCCACTCTGTCCTCTAGGGGCGCTGTGAGCCCAGATCCACTTGACAGCAGTGCGTTTGGTTTGGGCTTTGCCTCCATAAAGATTGACAGCCTAGGAAACTCTCTGTTGCAGTTCTGCTCTGTCCTCTAGGGGCGCTGTTAGTCCGAATGGACTCCGCGGTAGTTTGGGCTTTGCTTAGGTAAAGACAGCCTTGGAAACCTTGGAAACCCTGTGGGGCAGTCCACTCTGTCCTCTAGGGGCGCTGTGCGCCAGCATCGCCTCTGCGGAAGTGGGTCTAGTTACCCTGATGGCAGTGCCTTCCTTGGTGAGGCTCCGGGCACTGCAGGCTGGGTGTCTGGGTTAAGTGGGTGGGGCACAGAACAGGAATTAAAAGGGGAGAAAGTTTCTGGCTGGGAAGGTTCTGCCCAACCCTGGCTAATCATTACCCCCTAGCCAGTACAATGAAAGCTTCAGGCTCAGAGTGCTCCAGCGGCCACAAAGACCTCTCTTAACAACTCTGTGGGGAGACACTGCTACTCTCATTTTCCAAAGAAGGAAGTCTGAGGCTGGGAGAGGACAGGGGCCTTGTTTGAGGTCACATATCGCGCAACGACTTGACGCCAGGCCTTGAGAACTGCTCGGTCTGAGCCCATTCAACTCTGCCAGGCTGAACTGGGCAGCCCAGACCTGCCTCCCTCTGCTGGCCCTGAGCCCAGCTGCCTTGGGCCTCATCCCTTTCTCCACAAAGGCTGCCTTGGGGCCCTCTGGCTCCAGGCCTGACTCTGAGCCCTGGTGCTGGACACAGCCCTGTCCCAAGCAATGCGTGTGTGTCAGGGACTCCTGGGGACGTCTCCCTGGAGCTACCCCCTCTGCCAGGAACCACTGTGCTCTGAATCTCCTGCCGAGGGTGGGAGGCCATTCCATCTCACCGTTCCCGATCCAGCTCCTCTAGCAGGCGGATGGTGGCCCGGCTCGGCTCCCCGACGCCATCCTTGGAAGGCCCAGAGCTGTGGAGGGGGCTCCCCTCTGGGGTGCGGGTGAGGGGCGCAGGGTCCAGACCTGGTGGCTGGAACTTGAGGCTGTACAGGCTGGAGATGTCCATCTGCAGTGCTGGGTGGGGAGGGGGGGGGCGCCGGTCAGCGGCAGCCTGGCGCCTCATCTTCCCAGCCCCTGGCGTGCAGGGCGCCTCACCCTCCAGCTGCTCCAGTACTTCCGTCGGCCCCGCAGACGCCAGCACACCGGCCTCCTGCTGCAGCTTGCCCTGCAGGTGCTGCAGCGCCTCCTGGAGGCAGAGGGGGGCACTGGTGCCAGGCTCTGCCCTGGGTGCCCTGCCCAGCCCTGGCTTCCCCCCGGGGGCCCTGTGGCACCACCCGGCACCCTCGCTGCCCAACCTTCATGCCCGACGTCTCTGTCTCCAGCTTGGACAGGTGGCTCGAGTTGTCCCGCAGCTCCTGCCTCAGGTGGCTGTTCTCGGCCTTCAAGGCCTCCACCTGCCGCACCAGCTGCTCGTATGATGCCACGGAGCTCGTCATCTTCAACTCCTGCAGCTCCTGGGGTCACAGGGTCAGGGTCACTGAGGGTGTCCGAGGGGGCAGCCGGCACCTGAGACAGGCCCAGCGCTGAGCCCCAGCCCTCCCGCTGGTCCTGGGGTGGGTCTGGCAGGAGCAGCTGGCATGGCTGCCTCGGGGAACCCAGGCACAGATGGTTGGCAGATGGAGTGACAGACACACAGTGACAAGGGGACAGGGAGGCAGGGGCAGAGCCCCAGACAGCCCAAAGGTCCCACTGCCTGGTGGGCCGGCCCTCCCAGCCAGGCTCCTGGACACACGTGCTGACAGCCAGATGGAGGACAGATAGACTGACAGCCAAGACCCTCCCCTGGAGAAACACGCCTGCCCAGAGGCTGACGGGTGGGCACACAGGGTGGACAAACGGACAATAACACCGGGAAGGCTGACACTGACACGTGAAGGCCAGAAAGAGGTCAGCGGGGGGGATAGCTGGACAGACGGACGTACAGACCCAAGCACACCATCCCATCACCTCCCCGCAGGCCAGGATCTGGGATGTCCTGCATCCCCCACGTGCCCTCCATGGGCGGCTGGGTCTGGGGGAGCTACCTGAGTGGCCGGCACCCTCTAGCAGCCCAGTGCCTCCTCGCCCAGGCCTCCTGCTGCCACCTCCGCCCACTGCTTTGTGTCTCTGGCTGTCCTCCTCCCTCTGGCCGGCTGGCCGAACCTCCTCCCTCCATTTGCCTTCCCTACTGAGCCGGCCCCCTTCCCCTTTGTTCCCTTCCCATTCGCACACACCCCCTCCCTCCGCCTTTGTCTGAGATGCACCAATAACAACCAGCCCCTCACCTCCTCCTCCCCCAACCCCTCCCCAAATAAGCTCCACCCACAGCCCCCCAACCCCCACCAGCCACACTCATTCATTCACTGGCTCATTCATTCTCTCTCTGCCCACCCCCAGAAGCCCCCCCCAGGCCATCAAAGGCACAGCTGAGCCCCAGTACTGTGGGGGCCAAGCCGGGGAGGGGCTGGGGTTGGGCCTACTGTGTGCCTGGCCATGTGCCCTGGTTCATCTTGACCCCAGTCCTGAGTCAGAGAGCCTACCATCAGACCATTCCCAGAGGAGAAACTGAGGCTCTCGGAACTCGGACCTCAAACCCAGACCCCACCTCTGCACAGCCCCAAGGAGCTCCGATGGCAGGGCATCTCTGCAGGTGCAGCAAGGCCTCGGTCTGCCCCTCAGAGGGGTGGGCAAACTCAGTGGGCCCAGCCAGTCCCCCAGAACCATGTGAGGGTCACAGGACAGTCAGGGAGCAAACAACGAATCACAGAGTGGACCAGGTCGAAGGGGAGCGAGGTCAGATGGGGGCTACCACTTTTGCCTCTGGCTTCAACACCAGCCCTGCCCGTGGCTTGAGGAAGGGGGTGTCTCAGTCCAGATCATGCAGTAAGATCCTGGGGGTCCGGCCCCAGGTGGGTCCTGCTGAGGCCAGCATGTGTCCACATGGGATGCAGACCCCTGTGCATGTCTCTCCCACACCCCAAATCCAGACCCTTCCTGGACGCCCCAGGGTAGTTGCATGAGCCCTCTCAGCTGTTCCCATATGGCTCTCCTCCAGTGGCCCAGGCTGGGCCTGGGCACCCTGTCCCTCCCCACATCTGGTGGTCACTGTGTCCTCTTCACACTGACCTTGGCAACAGGGTCACTCCCAGGGCTCCCCCTCAGTCCAGCTTAGTGCCCCGATTCCACGCTCCCACCACTCCTCCAAGCTCTGTGCTAGCAGACCACCCTGCCCCCACCAGGAAACCCTCGCCTGTCTCCCATTCTCACGAATAGCCAGAGGGAGCTTTCAAAGTCACAAGGCAGGTCCCATGCTTCCCCTGCTCAAACATCCTCTATGGCTCCCCAGTGCCCTCAGGATCAAGATTCAAGTCCTCTACAAACCCTCCACCTCACCTGCCCCAGCAGCCCCCCATCTCCGCAGGCCTGTGCCCACATGCTCTTTCCTCTTCACCCAGTTTCTGCCCCCTCCCAGAGCGGGGTGGAGTCCCCTCCTACAGGAACCCCTCCTGCCTGCCCCTCTCCCCCAGGCTGGGGCAGCCACCTCCTGCGGTGCCCCAGTGAGAGACCGGAGGGAAAGACCAGCTCCGGGCATCTCTCCAACTGAGCCGTGAATGGCTGCGTCTGGGGGGTTGTTGTCACTGGGAGGCCGCAAAGGTCCTTCTCTTTCCTTTAATCCAAACCCCTACTTTACAGAGAGGGAAAGTGAGCCCCGTGGAACTGCAGCTACACTCGCAGGCCCGCCCGCCTGCCCCGGCCCTCCATCATCTCAGGGAGACCCCGTGTGGAAGCTGGTGAGTGGGTGTGTGGTCACTGGCTTCAGCGACGCCAGTGCCCACCTCCCTGGAGCTCAGTTTTTCCCCTGACCCTCACCCTGCAGCCATGGAGCCTCTGAAGTCTGTGCTGACAGGCGACGCAGAGCGATGAGATGAGACCCTCGGGCACCAGGCGGGGTCGCGCCCCCTCCCCTCCACCCCGTGGAGACGCCACTCACTGTGTCTCACGCAGGTGGGCTGGTGGAGGCACCGCGTCCCAGATCCTCCGCCCTCCGGGCAGCTCCGCGGGGCCCGCCCAGGGCCTGGGGCCGCCTGGGGCGGGGGCTCCGAGGTCTCAGCGGCGCAGGCAGGCGGCTCTGGGGCGGACAAAGCCGCGTCCAGGCCTGGCCAAGCGGCGAAGCCGCCTCCCAGCGCTGGGCGAAACCACAGCGCGCGGGGGAGGATGCGGGTTGCGGGATGCAGACGCGGAGACCAATGGCGACGCGGGAAGACGGGCTGGTGCCATGGCAACAGCCAATGGCGGCCCGGGGCGGGGACCAGCGGCGGCGGCCGGGCGCCAGGCTTCCGCGAGGGTTCAGGGGCTATGTTTGAGGGGGGCGATTGCCCCAGGGAAGGGGGCGTCCCGGGAACCGGAACCCCCCCGCGTCCTCTACCCTATTCCGCGGTAAAATAACCTTTTAGAGACCCCCGGAGCTGGACTCAAAGGATTTGAGTCAAACACTTCATCAGTGATGTTACATCAGAATCTTGCGGGAGGGGCTCCCGGGTAGCGGCAGGGGGCCAGGCGAGCCCCTCTCCACGGATCCAGCCGGATTTGTGAGCATGGATCAAGGCAGGACAAATCTTGGGGGTCCCGGGGAGATCCTTCCCGGCGGTCCTGGCTGGAAGGGGGATGGGCAGGCACGCCCGGGAGCACCTGAGACCCCGGATCTCTCCCCACTTTGCCGTCTCCTTGGCGTCAGCATCTCCTGGGAGTCCCTGAGTCTATGCCACCCCGTCCATCTCAGCCCCCGTGTCTCTGCCCCTTTCCATGTCTCTGTGTCTCCTGATCTCAGTTTCTGTGTCTCTGTCCTTCCTCACATCTTAATCCGACCACCCAGAATGGAAGCTGGAGGAGGGAGGGGCCTGGGGTCTCAGCAGTGTCCACCCATCCCTGATCCTTGATGGGTCCCAAAAGCCACTTCAGGGTTTTATCTCCAGAGCCTGCCCTTGCCTCTGTGGTCCAGCAGGGAACACAGGAGGTGGTGGCCAGGGTCAGGCCATGGGTTGGACACCTAGCTCCGTGTTTCCTGGCTGGGGGCCAGGCACTTCCCCACCTCTTAGGCTCCCTTCCCTGTAAATGTGAAGATGGGCAGGCAGATTCCTTGCTAGGGCCACACAAGGATATCAGCAGGGGCAGGAGGCTGCTGCAGCCAAGGACATAGGGGACCATGCTGTTTCCTTTCGGGTCTGGAGCGGCAGGCCCCATGTGCTACGTGTCCCAGGTCGCAGTGCTGGGTCCTCAGGACCCGGGCTTGGCCCTGGGGGCACCTCTGGAGTGGGACACAGCTGTCTCCAGCCTGTGAGGTTGGGGGAGGCGTGCGAGGGGAAGCGGGCTCTTTCTAGGGGCTGCAAAGGCTGCGCTGAGATGGGGACACTGGTGCTGGGCATCATCAGGATGAATGAGTTGGCTAGGTGATCAAGACAGGGAACAGTGTTCCAGGCTGATGGAACAGCATGTGCAAAGGCCCAGCACAGGTACATTCAGGGGGTGATGGGTGGGCGGTGGGGTCGGTACAGAGGAAGCCACAGAGGATTTAGAGCAGGGCCAGCCCCTCAGGGGACTTACAGGGATAAGCTGATCACAGGAGACGAGGGTGGAGCTGGACAAGGTTGGGGCTGGGGATGAAGAGCCCAGGGTCCCTGCTCATCTCTGTGTGTGCCACCTCAGTCTCCCGTTTGTTTACTGGGGATGGGGGGGAGGGCGCTGGATAGTTCCTGGGCCCCTCATAATAGAATTAAGTCTCAGTATCAGATGTCACAGTTCCCCAGGACCGTCCCAGCCAAAATCTTTGACATGGCAGGAGCTTTGGGTCCAGTGGCCAGTCTTGTCCTCATACACACGGGTAAACTGAGACTCAGACCGGGGCATGTTGCTCCCTCTCCCCTCCGGGCGTGGCTGGACAGGGATGGTAAAGGACCCTCAGGCTGAGGGCACATGGCGGTTCCCCGAAACCCTCCCTCCTGTAAACCCTGCTAGATGCAAGCAGCGCTGGCCACTCCAGATGTCATTTCGTGGCACTCGCTCCAGCCAGTCCCCACCCTGTGGCCCTGCCTGCGCCAGCTCATGTCCTGGACACGGTAAAGGTCACTCACGTAGGGTCCTGGTGACATCTGTGCCTGACCTCGGACGTCCCTACCCCCTCGATGCCCCACCTTTCCCCATCGTGCCTCCTCCGTGCCAGCGGCTGGGGCTGAGGCAGCATGAACCCTGCCTTCTCAAGCTAGGGTGGGGGCAGAGAGAAGCAGGAAGGCCACAGGTCACCTCATGACGACAGAGACGGGCCGCTGGGTGACGGAGTACGGCCCAGACAACTAAGAGGGACTGCCACTGGGATGGCGTCTGGGACTCAGTTTCCCCTGCGGGGAAAGGCAGCGCAACCCAGCGTGGTCCCGTCAGCACCGCGGACAGCTCCCTCTGGCCTAAAGCCTGCTCCTCCTCTCTCGCCTCCGCAGGGCGCTCGGGCTCCTGCCCTGCTCCGAACGTGACCTTGGGCTCCTGCCTCAGTTTCCCTCACTTGACGGCGGTAATAGCCGCAGGATTCAGAACGATCTCGGAGCCCGCGAAATGCTCGGCAGTCGGTATATTATTACTGTTAACAACATCAGCGGCCGCGAACATCAAAGAGGCTCTGCGCTCAGGGCAGGAGCGGAAATCGAGGCCGCAGAGGTGCAGGGCGTGGCCCGGTTCCCGACAGCGTGGCCGGGGCCTCGGTCCGTGCGCCCACAGCCCTTCTCCGCACACACGCGGCGGAGAGGGTCCAGGGGTCTCCACCATCGCCGAGGACGCCCTGTGAGCTTGCGCCTGCGCAGACCGGAAGGGGGGGGGGTCGCTGCGGCGCGGAGGGACTCCCGACCCCCGCCCGCATCATCCCGCTGCGGTTTCCCTGCCAACCGTCTCCACAGCGACTATTCGAGACCCCAGCCCGTCAAGGCCCCTCGCGCGCCCTTGCGCCCCGCCGCCAGGACCACTGTTCCCGTGCTGCGGGCGCCGCCCCGGCCTGCGTCCGCCTACCGGGCCAGCCGTTCCTGCAGCCGACCCATCCCGAGGCCGGCCCGCACCCTACCTGCTCCCCGAAGAAGGCCGAGTGCAGAAGGCCTAGGAGCCCCAGGAGCCCCATGGAGCCGTCGCCTGCTGGACAGCCGCACCCCACCCCTCGGCCACCAGGAGACCGGTCCGGCGCCGCCCCTGCGCCTGCGCGGAGGGAGGGGCGTGGAGGGGTCCGCCCCGCCAAGCCTGCCCCTGGCTCAAGAGCTGGTCCCGCGCCGGCTCACACAGGCAGGCGGGGCCTGGGGGTCCTGTGTGGCGAAGGGAGCGGAGGGGGTACCGTGTGGTTTGGAGATTTCAGCAGGGGTGAAGGGAGGAGATCCCGCGAAAGGAGAGAGGCTCAGGGGGGTGGGTGGCGGACAGAAGGAGGTGGTCCTTGAGGTAAAAGTGGGAACCTTGGGGGCAGGAGTCCCATGGAGAGTAGGGATCCGAGGGACGGAGAGGCGCCGGCGCAGCCAGCTGCCTGTGTGGACAGCGCCCAGGGAGCTTGATCGCTTCTGCGTCTGCCCAGCCCGGCGGCGCGCTCAAGTGCGTTAGCCGCTCTGCAAAGCGTTTATTGACCACCCACTGTGCAAGGAGACAGAATTCCTGCCTGCCAGGAAAGAGTCACGAGGGAAGAGACCAGATGAACTGGACGGAGAAAAATGTTGGCTCGTGGAGAGCTGACAGGAAACGCTGGAAGGACAGTTGCTGGGAAAGGGGTCAGCAGTGTCTGAAAGAACGTTCCAGGCAGAGCAACAGTCCGTGCAGAGTCCCTGAGGCAGGACCGAGCCTGGAGGGCTGGTGGAATAGCGAGGAGGCCCATGTGGCCGGAGGGGAGCGACCGAGAAGAGGGAAGGGTAGGGAGGCGACAGGGCAGGTACTGCAAAGCCCTGTGGGCGGGGACGTGGTAGCGCTGGAGGGCGGCGAGCAGAGCGCGCAGCGGCCGACTCGACGCCCACGGGTGCCCTCTGGTGGCCCCGGACAGGACAGACCGTGGAGACGCCGGGACGACTGCGCTGGTCCAGGGAGTGATGGGGCGGCGGAGGGCGCGTTACCATGCCCCTCTGGCCATGCTGAAGAGGGCAGGCCCGAGGAGCAGCCTGGGGACCGGATCAAGGTGGGCTAGCAGGGTTTCCTAGTCCCGAAACACTTTGGGTTTTATTCCCATACCTTGAAAAGATGGGGGCGAACTTGGACTTACAGATTTAAATTGTCCTGCCAGGGGGAGGCCAGGTGCTCCAATCAGGACAGCGTTTCAGGGCACCGGGCCTGCAGGGAAGAGTGACGGACAGACGGAAACCCGCACGTGAACAAAGACCAAGCCAGGCCCGACTTTGACAGTGAAAACTGGCTGGCGGGGTCTGGGGGACACCGAGCCTGGTTACAGATGCTGCAGAAGCTGGACTAGAAACAGCTGGTTTGAAGTGGGCAGAGGGTCCCTGCAGTGAGAAATCCCTGCCTCTCCCAGGGTGCCCCAGAAATTGCTCCTGGCAGCTAGAGCATGCACCCGAGCATCAACTGGGCCCAGGGCCTCCCATCCCCATTTAATCACAAGACTAACTTTCAGTTATGATCAGTTCTTCTAAGAATCCAAGCTGCAGACAAATTAAAAATCTCTGACCAGCCCCTACTCCGAGCTATCTGAAGGGCCATGTGGTGACCAAACCAGGCTTCCTGGGCCCTCAGGAGGTGTCCTGCATTACTGTGCCCCTGGAAAACACAGTTAAATTCCAGAGACCAGTCTGTCGCTGTGACTCTGCCCATGGATCCTGGAAGCGGCCATGACAAGTATGACTGTCAACATCCAACTTTATTTTTAAATGTATTTTATTGAAATGTAATTTATGTACAGTGAAATACACAGAACTAAAGTGACATGGGTCTATGCGCTTTTTTTTTTTTTTTTTGGCAGTGTTCCTTCCCCTCCCTGGCAACCAACAAAGTTTCCCTCCATATAGAAATCTTTCCTTGACCCTCCACAACAATGAACTAATATTGTATCTGTCCTTCTGTGACTGACTTATTTCACTCAGCAGAATGTCCTCCAAGTTCATGCATATTATGCAGTGTTTCACAGACTCTACATTATTCTTTAGTGCTGCACAACACTCCATTATGTGCATGGACCAGAGTTTGGTCATCTGCCCTTCTGCTGATGGGCACGTAGGTTGTTTCCATCTTTTTGTTATTGTAAATAGTGCTGCAGTGAACATGTGTGTGCATGTATCTGTTCCTGTCCTGGCTCTCACCTCTCTAGGATATATACTGAGTAATGGGAAGCTAGGTCAAATGCATCTCCAATTCCAGCTTTCTATGGAATCGCCATATTGCTTTCCACAGTGTGCATCTAACTTCTACTCAACAGGCAGTAGGGGCTGGCCTCATGGGAGCCCTGGGTGTCCCATTCCCACCAGTGCCTCCATCCCTGTATTCACTTCTGTCCTAGTCCTGTAGGCAGGCCTGGCTCCATCCACTTTTATGGCTTTTCACAGGTCTCTGGGTTGTGTAAACAGTTAAGCACCAACTGCTAACTGAAAGGGTGATGGTTTGATTCCACTCAGGTGCCTTGGAGGGCAGCCCTGGCACCTACTACTGAAAGCTCCTGGCCATGGAACCCCAAGGAGGCATCTGTACCTCTCCTGCTGATCACCAACCCAAGCACCTGTGCTCTCCACTGGTTCTACATTCTCAAGATTCTAAACCCAATTCCAGACAGAGGAGGGGAAGCTAGTCATGCTGCAAGGCGGGGCTCAGTCCTGGGAGGCGGCTATTCAGTGTGTGGACTGGTTCCTTCATCCAACTGTTGGTCTCCTTATGCCCCCCCCAACACCCTGCAGCCCCTCCACAACCATCTCAGGGTCTGCTTACCCCTGAGCCACCGCCCTGACTATGAGCTGGGGACCCATATCTGAGGGGCTTCCAGCTAACCCTACACCTTATCCTGCCTCAGCCAATGGGAACTGCTCAGGCCAGAACCTGAGAGTCACTACCAACTGCTCCCTTTACCCTGGCAGGCGTCCAGAAACCCAGGGACCCTCACAACCTATTAACCAAGGGACCCCTGTGCCACCACTCACTTGAATTGCAAGCACTCTCTATCTTCCCAAAGGAAACAGTTTCTGCCACGCCCTAGGGAGCAGTATGCGAATCCCACCCAGCAGACACATGCTGGGTGATAGTGATGGGGTTGGGGAGTTGGAAGCCATTACAACCCACAGGATTCCAAGAAGAGGGGCAGGTATCATGGAGGGGAGCTAGGTCATCCTGTGTGAAGCCCCAGACGCAGGCCACCCCTCCCTGCGGTGAGGCCAAGATGGCAGACACTGGGACACGGCCACCAGAGTTGGGGTCTTTATTGGCTGCAGGGCTATTTGAGGGGAATGAAGCGGGAGGAGTGGGTGGCGCCGATTCCAGGCCGGCCGTGCTTGACGGGCTTGTAGGTGATGGAGAACTCGCCCAGGTAGTGGCCGATCATCTCGGGCTGTGCGGAGTGAAGAGGATCAGGGGACGGTGGGGTACAGCCTGCTGGCCCAGCTCCGCCCACCTCGGCCCAGCACTCACCTTGATCTCCACCTGGTTGAAAGTCTTGCCGTTGTACACGCCCACCATGCTGCCCACCATCTCTGGCAGGATGATCATGTCGCGCAGGTGCGTCTTCACCACCTCCGGCTTCTCCATGGGCGGTGCCTCCTTCTTGGCTTTGCGCAGCCGTTTCAACAGCGAATGCTGCTTCCGGCGCAGGCCGCGGTTCAGCCGCCGTCGCTGCCGTGCGCTGTACAGCTGCATAAGCTGCTCACTGGGTAGGGACGTGCAGACAACGGGCCTGAGTCCTATCTCCGTCCCAACGCCCAGGGACACACACCTTGTCCCACTAACATCTCTGCTCCCTATGGGGCCCCAAAACCCATTAGCGCGCCTGAGACTAGGCCCCCCGGCAGCCTGTGCACGATCCAGGTTGGGCTGCTCATGCCGCAAACACAGAGCTCCCCGGAAACAGGTCAGAGGAGCAGAGAAGGCAGCGGGGCGGCCAGAACCTAGCGCAAGACACAGGCCTGTAACAGGACCCACGCGCCCCAGCCAATGAGGAGCCTGTTCTGGCCCCTCCAGGAAGTAGTGCCCAGAACCGATCCGCTCGCACATGACAGGGAGGCGTGGCTAGGACTCCAAACTATGCACAGCCCACAGGCACCTTGGGGCTTCCCTGCTCGGGACCGCCCCGCCACCAAATCGCTCACGCAGCCCACGTGCCCAATTTGGCTCTGCTGCTTCTATGGTTGAGACAGCCTCAAAAGATGACACACAAAAACTACGTCCAATTCAAACCTCCGTGTCTGTAAATAAAACTGACCATCACACAGCCCCGCCCACTCGTTTACCGATGGCCAACGACCCCCGATACGTACGCAGAACCACCTCTAGGGTTGTTTTACTACATGGTCTGCCGACTCCTGGGTCAACATGTCACCAAGCCCGACGCCACCCCACGCCCCCTCCCACCTGGATGCTCCTGCTTGGGAAACCCCCCGCCGCGACCGCTTCCGCCCAAGGGCACCCCTTACTAGGACATGTCCAGCAGCTGGTCAAGGTCCACGCCGCGGTAGGTGAACTTGCGGAAGGTCCGCTTCTTCTTTTGTTCCACTTCCGCCTACGCGAGGGCGGGACGGGCATGAGATGGACCCCGAGACCCATCTCCCGCGGCCATGGTCACCTAAACCGGCGCGCGGCGGGGTCACGGGGGGAAGGTTCCCGCAGGAGACGTGGAGCTCCTGGTAAGAGAACACCGCCGAGACGCACGACGGCGAGCCCGCAACAGGGCCGCACGCGCGGCTACGGGGACTCGGCGGGGACACGCTGGCCCGGACAGACCTTGTTAGTCTTCGGCCGTCCTCAAACCACCCCAGGCCTATCCGCCACCCCCATATCCGAGTCCCCGGAGGTCTGGAGGAGGCCTTCACAACTGCTGGGCCTAACTTTGCCCCCAGTGCGCGGCCAGAGCCCGGATGGAGTGGGATGGGTCGAGCACAGACGCACGAACCTACAGCACTCACCATCTCGTCGGTTCTTCGGAAAGGAGCACCCACTTCTGCGCTGCGTAGTTAACGCGAGATCGCCTTACGTGCCCCGCCCCCTGGCCGTGCGGGCGCACAAGCTTCCGCTTCCTCGAGAAGGACGGTCGCCCTCTGTTGCCCGGAGGGCGAAGCACAGGCTGCGGGAGTTTCGGAAACCCAAGGAGGGGTCGCTATGAGTCGGGTCCCACTAGGCGGCATATAACAACAACAACACTGTCAGGCTGGTCTGGGTATTTGGGGTGTGTGTGAGCAAAATGCAGCCCTCTTCATGGAGTTCTAGTTGCAGTCGGGGGGGGGTGGCAGACATCGTGCACGTGGGCACGTACCGCAACACGTCATTTCAGATATCAGAGCTGAGAGGGAAATCCGGGGGCGGGGGGAGCTGTAGGAGGTGTTCCCTGATAACCTAAAACCAGCTGCCATCTAGGGTTAGGGTTAGGATCGGGTGGACTCCGACTTACAGCGACCCATGTGTGTCACAGTAGAACTGCTCCATAGTGTTTTCATAAATTTCCATGTTGTTGGCATGTGCCCTGGAGTCAGACCCTACTCATAGCTACCCCTCCTGGGGTTTCCGAGACAGTATCACTACGGAAGTAGATTGCCCCACCTTCCTTTCGTAGGTGGCTGATATTACAGAAGCAGATCACCAGGCATTTCTTCCAAGGTACCTCTGGGTGAACTCAAACCTCCGAACATTTGGGTTAGCTGCTGTTTCTCCATCGCCACCACCCAGAGACTCCCAAGAAGCACCTTGCCTTTAACAGACAAAAAATTAAGTAACGAGTGTCAGTAAACCTGCTTCCATAAAATTGAAAAGACCCAAACCCACTGCCATCAAGTTAATTCCAACTCCTAGTGACCCTACAGGACAGACAGGACTGCCCCATAGGGTTTCCAAAGCTGTCAAACTTTACAGAAGCAGACTGCCTTATCTTTCTCTCACATGGCGGCTGGTGAGTTCAAACCAAGACTTTTCAGTTAGCACTTTTAGGGACCAGGGCACCCTAGTAATAATATCAATGTATTATTGAGTTTGTACATAGATAAGTATAAAAATAACAAAACCAGGAAGGGTGTGTGTCAGACTTGTATTCTTTCACTATACTTATTCGATCTGTATGCTGAGCAAATAATCCAAGAAGTTGGAATACACAAAGAAGAACTGGCATCAGGATTGAAGGGAAGAGTCATTAACAAGCTGAGATATGCTTGTTGGCTTCTGCCAACAGAAGCAGCAGCCAAGAAACCAGATGTAATAATGCACTGGGCAAATCTGCTGCAAAAGATATCTTTAAAGTGCTGAAGAGTAAAGATGTCACTTTGAAGACTAAGGTGCACCTGACACAAGCCCTAGTATTTTCAATTGTCTCATATGCATGTGAGAGCTGGACAATGAGTAAGAAAGATCCAAGAGTCGATGCTTTTGAGTTGTGGTGCTGACAAGGAATGCTGAAAGTACCATGGGCTGCCAGAAGAACTAAGTTTGTCCTGGAAGAAGTGTAGCTGGAATGCTCCTTGGAAGTGAGTGAGACTGGCCGGACTTCGTCTCACCTACTTTGGTCATGTTGTCAGAAGAGACCATTCCCTGGAGAAGGATGTCATGCTTGGTGAGGTGGAGGGTCGGCCAAAAGGGGAAGACCCTCATAGATGGATTGACACAGTGGCTGCATTAACAGGCTCAAGAATAGCAGCGATTGTGAGGCTGGCCTGGGACCAGGCAGTATTATTTTTTTTCTGTTGTACGTGGGGTCTCTGTGAGTCGGAATCGACTCCTGACATCTCACAACAATAGCACAAAAAAAAAAAAAAAGGAATGGAGCTGAACAAGAGTAACATTTCTGAATTTAAGAACAGGGTGGTCCCCGCACATGAACTGCAACTTTGGTGTAAATCTGAAGCTATTCTCATCAGCCCCGCAGCCTGGCCAATGGACTCCAGGCCCTTGCCCTGGTTGAGGTCCAGCTACTCATGGTGCGTGCTGCTGCCCCCCACCCCGTGGACTCACTGTCTCAAACCCTGGCTTTTGGGGTGCTCCCAGGCAGCCTTGCTGAGGAAGAAGTGGAGCCAAATCACGTGGGCATGAGAGAGATTTGGGGGCTGTCCACCGGGGGGGTGAACTCAGGACACAAGCCCCTGATGGCATCCATCATGACGGGTGGGAGTCAGACCTGCCCTAGTGTTCCACCCTGGCACCCAGGCTTCAACCTTCATCCCCTCCTGGCTCCCACCCAAGCATCCCTGCTTATCCCCTGGATCCACCCACGCTGGCCCCTAAGCTCGAGGCCTGGGGCAGCTTGTGATGTGGGGTGTGCCCTCAGCCAGTGCCTGGGCACTCTAAGCCTCCACGCACCTGTCTGCACCCGGGCATGAGAGTGACGTGGCCCCAGAGGCACCCTCAAGTACCACCTAGCTTCAGGCCCACCCTGAGTGTGGCATGGGCCCCTCTGACCTTGAGCTCCAGACTCTGCCATCCCCAGGGCCCTACCACAGGGTGTCCCACTGACGCTTGTAACCACCGAGGCAGCCAGCCAGGATTATAGCCTAATCAGGCCGCCTGCTTGGGCTACACACCAGGGGCACCTCTGCAGAGCCTGCTGCCCAGCCCCACGGAGCCCATCTTTATGTAGCTCGGTTGTGATTGCCGACCTTCTCTTGGGCCCTTCAGGTTGGACCTCCATCCACTGTCCCCTAGGGGACAGGGAGCTTCAACTTCCCCTCAGCTAGGACAAGTCCAGCTGACAGTCCCCTTGGACATGTGTGCGCCTCGGCCATAGCCCACACTTGGCCTCCCTGCCCCAGCCGCCCACAGCTACTCCTAGGAGAGCCTGAGGGCTCCTGGTACCCCAAGCTCCGGCGTTCAGCCCAGAATCCAGGCTGAGAAAGAACTGACACACATGGGTTTCTAATCCAAACGCACTTCTCTTTATTCAAACTAGGGTCAGACTGGTCAGCGGGACACACACAGAGACCACGCGCCCGAAGAGGTCAGCTTCTGACAAGGCCTCATGCCACCAGGGGTCCACACAGAGCTGGGTTGGACTCGTGGGCCAGGCAGCCCGAGTAGACCCCCGGGCGCTTGCAGACACTGCCAGTCGGTTGGTCGACGAAAGGACTAAACGGAAACAGAACACTCAGTAGATTTCTTCACGCCCCCAGCGTTTCTGGAGCCATGGGTCCCACGCTCCAATGCACCCTCATGTCCGTCGTGCTGACAGAAACCCTCTTTAAATTAAAATAAGCCAGGATACAGCGTAGAAAAGGTCTCTTAAAAATCTCACAATTTGTAAATGTATATTTTTTTTCTTTCAACATAAAAGTTTACAATATACGGTAACACAAAAGGCTCAGGAAAATAATTTCAAAAAAATAAGAGAAAGAAAAAGAAACCTGAAGTTTTGAATTAAAGCTGAAGACAATTTTTTAAACCCTGTTGTTTGAACCAGTGACTTTTTTTTTATTGTGCTGATGGGTTAGAGAAAGAAATATATTTAAAAACTTCAGTCCGAACACCCACAGCCTTGCCTCCAGAAGCCTGCTGCCCGCCCCGCCCCCCTCTGTCAGGTACAGTGTGATTGTCGCGAGATCACAGGTCGGAGTCTTCGTCGCGGCTGCGCCCCACTGGCCGGCTAGCGTCGGTACGGGTGGAATCCTTGCACATTGTGGTTCTGACCTCGGCCAAAGCCACTTCCACCGGCAGGAGGGCCCCCCGATCCTGGCACCGAGGGTCCTCCATAAGAGGGGGGCTGCTGGCTGGGGTCTGAGAAACCTTGTCCGAAGCCACTCAAGTCCTGTCCGTAACCTGCTGGGAGGGGAGAGCCTGTGGGCAGCGACGGGGCACACAGCCTGTCGGACGTTCCACCACCTGCATATGGCGCCCGTCCTCTGGCCAGTGCCAGACAGGGCAAGGACGTGACCACCAAGACCCACGCTCACCTGTGCAGGGTACGAAGGTGCCAGTACCCACTGCGCCCCCTCTGTCAGGAGACAAGCCCAAAGAATTCTCAATTCCCCCACAGCCCCCCAAAACCACATGGGGGCCAGGGACAACCTGCCCCTAAACAGGAGGGAAGTGGTCCCAGACCATGGGTACCTGGGCCACTTCTCCCCTGTGGCCCAGGCTGGAATAGGTGACACACTGGGACAAATGCTTCCACAAAGTTCTCAAGCAGCATGCCCTGGGGGACTGAAGCACAGTTGCACCCCCTTAAGGGGACAGCTCATGGGCACCCCACCATTGCCCCTGGCCAGGCTTCAAACTTGGTGGCTTCACAAAACCTGTCTGCAGGCCCCCAGAGGGTGTGGCTACCCAGTGGGTCAGTGTAGGGGGTGCAAATCTGCAGGCCGAGGCCTCCCGGTTGGGCATCCAAGGCTGGGGTGGTGTCATGGAATGGGCCTGAGTCCCTGAGCAGGCGGTGGGCCAGGCAGTGTGGGCTCCCACACACGGAGTGGGCAGATGGCTCGGCTCGAGCATGAATGTCAACGAGGTGAGGGCCTGGGGCCATGGGTCTACGGCTAGGAGCCTGAACCTGGTGGCAAAGACCAGGGTGCCAGCCCTCCAGGACACCAGTGCAGGAGCGGGCACATACAGCCCAGGCTGCACGTGGCCCCACATGCCCTACTCACAGCACTGTAGGGGCCAGGTGCCCAACAGCACATGGGACACAAGGCTGTAGCCAGGGCTGTGTCCAGCCAGGCCTCAGGGCAAGGACCTGCTGGCAGGGGTCAAGCTACACCTCCTCCTACCTGGCAGAGACAACGGGCACAGCGGTGTGTGCATCCGTGTGTGTATGTGGTGTGTAGCATGGAAGCAAGCCCTGGGACGTATACATGCACATAGTATGCCCACATATGTACCATGGACCTGAGTGTGGATACATGGCTGTGTGTGCTAGAACCCAAGCTCCCACCTGCACTGACCACAGTGACGTCCTGAGCTGAGTCCTGCCTGCCATGTCCCAAGCGTATACAGGCCCTGGAGTCTGTTAACTCTACAAGCCACCCCATCCAGGCCAGGTGCCAAGGCCCCTACATGCCACATGGCACCTCAAGTCGGCATAATCCCACTCCAGCGAGCACCAGCCACCCAAGCAGATGGCACCCTGTACCCCTCCGCCTCCCACTGCACCTGAGGGAGGTGGGAGGTGCCCCCAAGAGCTCCCCACCGCCACAGCACTACACAGGGCCACGCGCCCCAAGCCTATCCCTGCACAGGCTCCAGGACACCGAGGCGATCCACACCACCACCACCAAGTCCACAGTCACATCGTCTCGGCCCCACTGTGCTTCCCTTGGCTGGAGCCACAGCCTCATACTCCCAGATCGGCTGAGTCAAGGTTCTGGAATTGGACACTTTTCTCTGACCAGCACTTTGTGCTCTGGCATTGACCAGACCCAAAAGAAAGCTCATCCCACTTCCAGTCCCACTGTGTCCTGGTCACTGGGCCCTCCTGCACAACCCGACCTGAGGCCAGCACTGCAGTTACCTTCCAGGGAGGCTGCAAGGCCATGTCCCCACCATCGGGGCAGGGCTGGCCGGGAGGACGCTGTGTGGTGGGTATGACAAGAGGCGCTGCCCGGGGACTTACCATACTGACTGTAGGGGAAGTCTGGCTGGGCCGTTGGGGGTTTGCTCATGTCCGGGGCAGCCTGAGATGGAGGTGGAGGGAAGGCCAGTGGTGCTGCCCCTGGAGTGGCTGGTGGAGGAGGGACCCCCGGGGGAGCAAACTGGTCAGGCGGCGGAGGTGGAGGCCCGTAGCCAAAGCCTGGAACAAAGAGAAAGGCCAAGGCCTGTGTGTACCCACACGAAGAGCAGGTGGCACCTGGCTGGGTGTGGTGAGCCACCCGGGACGGGAAACCCAAGGCTGAGCAGGCTCAAGAGACGTCCATGGCCTCACCGGTGTGGATGCAGCCTTAAGGAATGACCTCCAACGGGAGAAAGGAGATTCGCACACAAAAGGTCCTTAGGATGACCAGCAGAGCTGAAGCGCAGGACGCCGTGCCCACGGGGCACTGTGCAGGCGTGGTGTGAGAACACACACTCGCTGGGAAGCACTAAGCATCTACCCGAGGGCAGCACCAGTTGCATGCACTGGGAGGACAGGCAACACCTGGAGCCCCCGATGTGGCCATCGCAGGCGGGATGCGCCCAGCTTTCTAAGTGGTTCTGCTGAGCTCCCACCCAGAGCAGGGTAGGACAACATGGCCTGTCACCCGCCTGTGTCTTGGAACCCAAGTTGGGATGTGTCGTGAGCAGAAGACGCTCCGTGAGCCACAGACTTGGAACCTAAAACAGAGTGCACGGAGTGCTCCGGCCCTCATCACAGTGCCTGGCTCGGGCTGCTCCGCCCTCAGCGACAGGCAGTGTACAGCCCAGGGGCTGCTCTGCCCTCAGCCTGGCCCGAGGAGGAGGGCAAGCTTGGTGCTGGCTTCAGGGCAGCACTCCCCACGGGGGCGATGGTGGCCCCACCTCCAGACCTCCAGGCATAGCACAACACAACACAGGCAGAGTTCTGAAAGGAAGACTGAGGGTGTGTGGGCCCCTCACCAACGAGGGTGTCCACAAGGAGGCTCACATCTAGAAACATGTCCCCTCAGCACGGGCACCCCCATTCTGACAATGAACACCAGGCCCATTCACTGCTCTCCAGGCAGGGGTGCTGGCTCCAGACCCAACCTGCCATTTCATACCCAGTTGAGGCCAGAGTTTCAGTGATTGCTCTGTACACCTGGCCCACAGAGGACGGCCCACCCGAGACCCCCTCACTGCCAGAAGCTGGTGGGCCCTCACACTTACTGAACTGAGGAGGGGCGCCATAGCCCTGGGGGAAGCCCTGCGGCGGGGGGAACCCCCCGGGCGGTGTGGACACGATGTAAGAGGTGAATGGCGGGGGCGGCGGGGGTGCTCCTCTTCCCGCAGGGGGCGGTCCGTAGCCACCTGCAGGAGAGAAGGCGGGCAAGGGCAAATCCACCGTCACTGCGCCTCTGCAGGCGCTGCCAGCCAAGGGCCCTCACTCTGCCGCCCCTTCACATGAGGGTGAGGGGAGGACGCAGACACATGCCGACCACTCCACCCCCCACACCACCCTGCGCTGCCAGGGAGCTGGACAACCCGAGAGGAGGCCAGAACCCTGTGCCTCGGGTCCCACCCACAGCCTTTTCTCCAAGTGCGGACTCACCAATCGCTTGTCCTGCTGGCACCCACATTCCTAAACAGGAAACAGAACAGGAGGCGTGCTGCTGCAGGGCGTCACTCCCGTGAGGACGAGCTGAGCCCACCCGCCCCGTGAGCCCCATGAAACCTGAGCCGCAGCAGCGGAGTTTCTGCCTCGGAGCCACCTCTGTGCCCACCCTCCCCTCTACCAGCCCCGGGCTGAGTGTCCTCTGAGCATTCACCAAATGAACAAGGAGACGTGCCCTCTCAGGACACCTCAGATACATGGCAGTCAAATCAGACACCACCTGCTCCCTCAGCCCTGGTGCTTCAACATAAGCGTCCCGGATGGGCTGGTGGGGAAACCGAGAGCCGCAGAAAGGAGAGAAGGTTGGAAAGCCCCAGGTGAGCCTAGCCTATCAGGCTGGGGGCTCTAGCTCCTGGCCTGCTGGTAGAGGGAGGGTGTCTGCCTCACAGGAAGCAGCCACCACAGCTCTTTTATTCTGCAAATTCGTTTTCAGTAAAGACACCTCTGGAGAGCCACCTGGTATCCAAGGCAGATCAGAGGCACCAGCCCATGGAGTGGAGGCGGGCACAGGTCAGCAGCCTCTCCCATTTCCTGGGAAATGCCAAGGCACAAGGGGACGTCCGTGAAGCCTTCTATGGGGTGCCAGCCCGGCAGCTTCAGGAGATGACACAGGTACTCCCTGTCTTGTGACAAGAAGCCAGCCTAGTGTCCCACAGAGTTGGCTCACACTCACCGTGTAGCTCCTGACATTTTCAGCCTCGGTCTGTGAGCTCCCTAAGAAACTACAGGCCATGCAGCCAATCCAGAGACCAAGGTCTCAGATTCACCAAGCTCTGGGGTTCCAGAGATCTCTGGTGGCAGAGGGGGAAGGGAGAGCCCCCACAATCCCCTAGCTGTCACTCCAGTGTGACCCAAATGGCCCTCTGCAAAGAGAAGGGCTGCGGTCTTGAGGAACAAGGCTCACAGGACCCTTCCGGGCTGCTCGGCCTGCTGCCAAGCAGCCTGTGACCAGTCCTGACCTGGTGCAGGACGACACACATGGCCAGCACATGCCAGAGGGGCAGGATGCTCAGAACAGGCTCTGAGGAGCTTGGAGCAGGCCTGTTCCACTCTGCCAGTGCTGTGTGCACAGGGAAACACGGGGCACAGTGCTCCAGTGATGGGTATCTGAGCTGGCCCTTGGCCAATGTCAGCCTCAACACACCGGGAGTGCCTTCCTGATGCCTGCCTCAGCTCCCCAGCCAGCACAGGCCACCAGCCTTCAGCCCGCCTGCCAGCGCTGCCTGGCCCTTTCCTGCACTGCTGTGAACAGAACCAGCATTTTGTGGACGGTCTGGAGGTGTCAAGGTCTCATCGCAGACCTTCAACCCTGCCATGACCATGCTCGAGGACATGTGTCTGCCCAAACCCAGCAGGAGACCAGGAGTGAGGTGTAGCTCCACTGCCAATCTTGGCCTCCATGGAGACATGACCATGGCCATCTGACAGTGGCATCACCAGAGCTGAGGTCCCTGTCCACTGAGCTTCTGCTCATACAGCCTATCAAAATGTTTATCACCAATTTTAGTCATAGAACGTGACAAATGTAACTGCCAATTCCTTAAGTGTAGTATTCCTTAGATTACGTGAATACCAATGAGATTGTTTTGTAAAAGCTTCACAATGAATTACAACACGATAAATTAGTTCCAACTTCATCAGTCACCGATGGCAGCCGCTTGTTTCTCCTTCCCTTTAATTACTACTTCATTCCCAGCAAAGTTATGAACATATAGGTGCATGAAGACTAACGACCACAATATTGTAGTTAAAATACCAGAAAACTTGCAAAAATCAGTGACCACAAGACACTGGCAGCAACGCAAACCACAGCGCACACTTGTGTCAGATGACAGCCCGTGATGTGAGCGTCACTGGAACTGGTGAGCGAGCTCTGACTGGGGCCTAAGAGAAGGTTCAAGGAGCAGCACTGGAGGCACTCATCCCTGTCAGCTGGGCTTACCAGGAAGGGTTTGGTGTTCTAACTAACTACAGAGATGTTTACGTCTGCTGAAACACTGCCCAAAGTTCTAGACAGTCTATTTTGGGGTCACCCTAGACACTGTCACCTGGGGTGGTCCATACCCCTCGCCTACCTAGGGGCTCCCTGGTGGGCCTATTGGGCCCTCTGCCGGGACTAGAGGGCTGTGAGCTCAGCACAGGGCTAGCTCCTGGGGCAATGACTGCGTGGACAGGGGCCAGGCCAAACCCGCCAGCCCTGGGGGCTGGGAAGAGCTGGGACACTCTGCCCTGGGGACGAGGCACAGAGGCCAAAGCACTGTGTCTCACTGCCCAAATAGAACTGAGGCCACACGCCCCACCAGGCCCAGTATTCCTGCCAGCTCTCTCTGCCTGTCAGCTGGTGGCAGGCTCCCTCCCTCCAACACACAGCTTTACCTTGTGGGCCATATCCTTGCTGCCACGTGGGTGGGGGCTGGCCGGCCCAGCCGTTGGCGGCACTAGGCACGATCCTGCCGCCCCACTGGCTGGCCCCCGGCTGGCCTGGCGTCTGGCTCTTGCTGTCACGAGGCTCTGCCCGCTTCACTTCCACCTAGACAAACCGAGCTGGGGTTTAGGAAGCAGCCGCTAGCCCCAGACCCCTTCCCGTCAGACAGCCCGCAAAGAACTTATGACTACACTTAGCACCTTATGACTTAAGACTAAAGACTTAACTATAAATCTTACTTAGGCCAGTAGCTTTCTCTTTTCTCTTAAAAAAAATTTTTTTTTGTTTTTTAAAAAAAAATGTTTCTCAGGTACAACAGGTGTAACAGGAGGCCACCGCAGCCCTGCTCCAAGGCAAGGGCCCGGTGCCAGGCCCCTGAGGAGAGGGCCATGACCACAGGGCCGTCAGCGCGGCTGCGCCCTCCACGAGCCAAGGGGTCGCATCTTCCCCACCACCTCAGCCTCCCCTGACTCCGGCCACAGGAGCCAGGCCCTGGGCTGGGGCACTGCAGGGACGCTAAGGGCCCCTGAGCCTACCCGCTGCCTGTGATTTCAGCCCATACCTGAGAAACACAGTTGGTTGTTTTACTTAAGGTTTTTATTTAAAATGTCTAATGGAAGATAAAGACTTACCTTCCCCAGGCTAACGCTTAAAGAATCTTAATTAACTCAAAACAATGTCAGAGGGAATGGATGTGATAAGAATCTTACGTTACATCTAACAAAAAAAGTAAACAAACATGCAATAAAATGGACATTGGAATCAGTAAGCGATCTTCATACTGTGTTCGTGGCAGCCCAGCCCCTCTGCCCAGGTGAGGCCCCAGCACCTGAGGGGCGGGGCGGCGGGCCCCGGACGCCTGGCCTGCTGATAGTGGGGGCTGAGGCCACAGGCGTCCTGGGAAAATGGGGATGGACTCCCAGCAGCACAAGCCAGCCCTGCTGGAGGGTGGCCGCAGTGTGGGTGTGTCCTGGGCTGCCTGGCTCTTATGACTCATTGTAATGGGAATGAGGAGGAAGATGCCACGAGCCACCGTGGAAGCATCTTTGGGGTTCCGGCAGCAGCTGTTCATTAGTACACAGGACTCTCAGCTCTGCCTAAAAGCCTTTCTGGTGGACAGCAAAAAGGAAGCAGCCTCTGAGGCCAAGGGAGTGATGGGAACAACGCCCCCCAGCAGAGGACTGGTGGCAGGACCAAGGGTGCAAATGAGCGTGTTTCCACACAGGCTCTTCATGGGAGTCAGGGCCTCATACGGCAGAGCCATGCCTGGCACCTCAAGCATCTCGCTGCCTTCCTCCCTGCAATTTTAATCATCAACAGGGGCTCTGAGCACACAGACAGCAGACAACCCCCCCTTTAACCGGGGTGTCACCTTGCCCACAGACCAGGGATGGCCAAGTGGGTGGGGCATGGGGCTGAACTTGGAGCAGGCCCCACCTGGAGAGGGAACCCCCGTCCTGGCTTGGTGTGCAGTACTGAACAGAGCAGGGCATCGCTGCTCCCCACAAATCCAGGGCACCATGGGGAGGATCCCAGATGTGGGGACAGGTCTGTGCTCTCAGTGCTAGTCCCACTCTAAGTGTCCTCGGCCATGTCACGGTACCTGGACATCCGAGCGTAGCGTCCTTTGCCCTTGGGTTCAGAGTGGGCGTGGCCTGGCCACCTGCACACTTAACTGTGCCAGGAGCACCACTGAGGCAGGGCAAGAGCTTGCCGGCCAGCTGCACTTAGGGTTCAGTGGGCTCCGTAAGACGGCAACCACGCTGGGTATGAAAAGAACCAGGCAGGCTCTGGGCTGTCCCTAAAGCTGCGATGCAGTGAGGAGAACGAGGGGCCTGGGACTATGGCTACAATACTGCCCTCGATAGTTAACTGACAGGAACAGCAATGATCTTGTCAGGAGTGACAGCGACAGACTGGGGCAGAAGGCTGAGCGGGCCGAGGAAGGGGAGGCTAGTCTGCAGTCTCAGGAGCCAGCTCAGCCTACCACCGGTCCTGCGGGCACAGACCTAGCTTCAAAAGCCCCAGCACCAACTCTGCCAACACGGGGCCCCGAGCAGCGGGCGGCTGTGAACACCACTCGCTGGGGCGTCTCCATCTCCGAGCTTTAGAGGCCTGGGAAGGATGACCGTTTTTGGGATTCTGTTCCTACATGTGCCTAAACCCCAGCTCACCAGGGACAAAGTGGGAAAAAGGGGCAGCCCTGACTCCCTCCCCAGCTCACCTCCATGGCAGCAACACAGTATGAAGATAACACAACCCGGGGTCACTTAACTGCACGGTGGTTAAATCTAGAGAGCAGGTGGTTGGACCGGAGTTTCACAGTAAGTGACCCGATTTCAAAGCACCAATCCTTCATGATGTTTATGTTTCACTCGATTTGACGCAGGACCTCGGTTCTCCAAGGTCCTCTGCTCGTCCCGCCTTCAGGCCAGGACTGGACAATTGCATGAGACAGACATCTGAAGGAGTGGTAAGTGCAACCAAGCCTGAGGCAACGCCGTGGTCCCCCTGGGCCAGCCTGCCTGGGCCACGTGCCCTTACCCTGGGAGTCCCGTCCACCTGTCTTGGGGCAGCCTCCCCCCAACCCAAAGCATAGCAGCTCCTGGCCCACCCTGTAGGCAAGGCGGCCCCCCATCTTGGGTCCCATTAGCTACCACTTCCTGAAGCCAAGGGCTCTGTAGACTGCTGGCCCGGTTTTCTGAGAAGGGTCATGTTTACCAGGGAAACCCCTAGGTTGCCTGAGACTTGGTTTGGTCTTAAGGTAAAATAAAACTACAACTACACACTTTTTTGCCCATGATGTCGTGAAAATGCATGTTGACAGCCTGGTCCACTGATTGTTCGTCCTCGAAAGTAATAAATCCAAAACCTAGCCAACGACGAAGAGTGAATCAAGGTAGCAGGGTGTTGTGACACAAAACAGGATGATGAACAGTATTAGGGACGGACCGAAGGATTGGCCGGGTTTCAGCTGAGCACCATGTGTGGGGGCAGGTGGCCCTGTGATGAGGCCTGGGCAGCGGCCACCAGAACTACCACTTCAGCCCAAACAGAGCACACAGCAAACCGAGGTGTGACTGCGGCCCGTGGATGGATGGAGACGGCTGCCTCCAAGCAATGGCGGCCCTGGTGACCGAGGCCGTGGGAGGTTCTGCCCTGGACACCTGGGGGTCCATGAGTGAACTCAGGCTCTGTGTCAAGACCAATCGGGGACAAAGGTCGTGTGTTTTGGACAGTAGCAACCAAGACAGTAAAGCAGTGCGGGCCAGGCTCCTGCACGCCCTCACCTGTCAGCGGGGGTGAACAAGGTGCGTCAACAGAAGAGGCTGCTGCCAGAACGTTCTGGCTTGAGCCCGGTGAGTTCACCTGTGGGAACACCTGCCTACGGGCGAGCCCAGCCAGGTGCGGGCGTCGTGCATGTCTCCGTCTCGCTGAAACCCAGGTCCTCCCCTTCGGCTTGCAATTTGCTTTGCAGCTAGTGCTGACAGCAGCCAGATCTCGTTCTAAAGCGTCAACAGCACAGTGTCTACAACAGCTAGTGCCTCACTGAGCTTATCCAACGCCGCTGGGTAAGCCCACGGGGTCCTACACAGGAGCTATACATCCGTATATATAGGTATGTATGTATATATATATATATATATATAGATATGTAAATATATAAATATAGATCAATAATTAAGTAAATAAAATACACAAAGATACAGGCCAAAATGGATTCCAGCAGGTCAAATTCTGCTGTCAGCAGCAAGAGCAAGAGGCATCATGTCATCAAAAAAGAAAAATTTTAAAGGAAAAACAATTTAGTGTCTCCCAAACACGAGAAGGTGGCAGTATAAACGAAGTTTGGTTGGTCTGGCTGAGTGTGACCCCAGCAACGGGGCAGTTTGTCCTCAGGGGCTACTTAGTGGAGGGCACTGGATTCCCGGGTAGCCTGTGAACACCCCTCCTCCCTGGGCGCGGGGAGGGCGATGGGCTCCCACCACCCAGATAGCGGACAGTGGCTGAAGCCCGCAGAAGAGCAGAGGATGGATGCGGAAGGCTCTGGCAGAGCAGCGTTTGTGGAGTGGCCGTGGGGGGCAGAGGGCAACGTGAAGCGTCGAGCTCACAGCTGAGCTCACGGCAGCACCAGGGGCCAGGAGGGAGGGAAGCAGGAAGAGCAAGCTCACTGGCGTGGCTGGGGCACAGCACGCGGTTTGGGGGCCACGGAGGCTGGGGGCACTGGGCAGGAAGAGCCCCTGACGGGCACCCTCCGGCAGATCAAGATGGGCTGCATGGGACAAGTATGCACAGAGCAGAGGACAAGAGCTGGGAGGAGAGGCAGCACGGAGACCCAGGGTGACAAAGATGGCCGGTGAAGCACACCGGGACTTGGGGCCTTGGTGTCCCCAACATGCACATGTGGCCACACAGACACACACATGGACATCTACAGATGACATGGAACACAACCAAGGCTGAAGCGTGAGGAAGGCAGTGCTCACGGAGATGCGGCTAGACACACGGACACGCAGGGAACAGAGCCGCAAGGCGGCCGGGCAGTGGGCAGAGAGGTGCGCGGTGAGAAAGACAAGTCAGGGTGGCCGGGCACCCAGAGAAGGGCCAGTTCTGCAGGAAGCAGGGACGCTGAGACACAGAGACACACATACAGAAGAATCCTGTGAGAACCACATCCCTGGTCTGAAACCCCAAGATGGTTACAGGAGACGAGGAGCAAAGGAGAAGGGAAGAGAGGTTTTGCTAAGAGGCAGAAAGGGTCAAGAATACAGGAAGGTCATCTCCGGGACCCCCCACACCTTGTGCTCGCTCCGAGGGAGACCCCCAGAAGCCTGAGGGTGAGGACGGTGTGAGTGTGCCAGCCAGGGCTGGGGCCCGACCACTGGGGCTGCCTCTCGGCTGGCTGCTCCAGCCCCAGCTGCAGTGGGGAGGGGCCGCGCGCGCACACAAGGGGTTCCACAAAGTCAGAGGCGAGACTTGCAACAAAACATAGGTGGATGATGCAACAACACATTCCAAAATGTAACATTTGCTCAAACTGCAGGGGGTCTGAAACCACAGGCTCACGTGGTTCCGGTTCCTCTAACCCGACCACAGAGCCAGAGGCGCGGAGTCCAGGGTTAAGGAGGCCCCTGGCGCGGAATGTCTAGGGAGTGCGTCTGTCAAGAAGGGGACGTCACCACCGAGGAGCGGAAGAGAAAACACACTGAAACTTCGTTTACACCCCACTGGAGCAGAGCCCGCGCCCTCCTGACTGCGGAACTGGCCTGTACCTGTGTGATAACATTTAGCACCTGGAGAAGAGAAATCTGGAGAGACCGTTAATCACAAACAGTGCAAAGAGAAAGAGACAACTTACTTAACATTACTGTACTTTACCATGAGACACTTAAATATGTCGCTAAGCACATACGTACGTCTAAATTAAAATTAAGACTAAGACTTAACGGCTTAATCGACATGGAGTGGGGAGGGCGTTACTTAATCAGGAGGGAGAGGTGGGATGGAAGTTCAAATGGCAAACTATTCTCCAGCATGGCGAAGCATGCTGCGGCCGCGGTGCCTGGCACGGCGGGGCGAGGAGCTGCCTCGGAGCCACCAGCCACCGTGCGCGGACAGGGGGCACAAGCAACATGGGGCTGCTGCAGGCAGACCCCCACCTGGCGGCTCTGTGCACAGAGCTGCTGACGCACCAAAACCAGAAGGGCGGGACGGGCAGCAGCGGCAGCCGCAAAAAGGGCCTGGCACTGGACGTCACTTAGCACCACGTCCACGGGGACAAGGAGACGTGACTCCACCTTCCTCCTGCCTAGCCCACTGATGCCAGGGGCCCAAAAGAAGAAAAGGAAAGAAAACAGGAATGTGTGGGGTTCAAGCAGGGGCAGGGATGCACCTGCCAGCAGGAGGTGGACGTCGGCTGCACTGGTGCTGACAGAGAACGAGGGGCCGCCCGAGGCAAGGAAGGCAACTATGGGCAATCTACAGTCTATGCCGTGATCAGAGTCACATCGAGCTGTGAAACTGCCAAAAGGAGCTACAGAGGGGCCGTGGCAGCCCAGCTTGGGGAGCGACTGGACGGCAGTGGGCGCACGAGGGCGTGTGATGCGCGTCCGGGTGAGATAGTTTGCCATCTGAGGTGGGGGGAAGCTCAGGACAAACGAGGTCTGCCTTTACCTCGCGGCCTCTGTTTCTCAGCGTCGTAGATCATCACCACCTCTGTGACCTGCAACAGAAAGGGTATGTCAGAGGGCACAGCCACTGCGGAATGGCTCGAGGAGCGGGGGCAGGGGCAGCTGGCCTGCAGGCACACCTCTGGGCACAGGAGCACACCTTGGCCGCAAGCCGCCTGCACCTCCAGCAGCAGAGCCTGGGCTGAGCTTGGAGCATCCTGGCTGGGGGTGGAGCAGGAGCTCCAGTAGTCACAAAGAGAGAGCAGGAGGAGGGTCACCAGGGCCCAGCCCACTGCCTAATACAGGTGGAGGCCGACCCAATGGTCCCAGCCACCTGTCCTGGGTGAGACCCCACAGGCTGTCTTCCTCACTCACCAATGAGGGATGACCAAGATTGTCAGAGTGGAGCCAGCACTGTGGGGCTACACCACAGGAGCGCTCCACCCTAAAGGCAGGAGTAGCCTGGGTGTCCCACCCACAGTGCTCTCAATGCTCCCATCACAGTTCCTGGTACACAGCACCCAACCCACATGCCCCAAGCTGTGCCTCACCGGACAATAAGGGGAGCCCTATGGTGAGGCCCATAGCCCAGGTGCCCCTGCTCTCACAGCATCAGGAATGCAGTAACCTACCCCGATTAGAAACGGCCCCCTGGCTCCCCTGCTATGTCCCCAGAGGGCAAGTGTGTAACAGAGCTGTCCACCAGACACATCCACATGGACACCAATTCTGCCCCCTTCACATGCCCTGCCCCTACCAACGCCAGAAAACGAACCACGGGAGGGTGGTCTGGTCACTGAGCAATCATGAAGCAGGATGCAGGGGAACATGTCTCATGGGAGGCCCAGGCAGCACAAGGCAGCCTGAGAGGCCCCTGTGCACAGCGCACAGGATCCACACTGCTCCTGACAGGCGCCGGGCAAGGTGAGGCCCATGCCCTCCTCCCTGCTAACCCTGGCCAGGCCCCTCTGCTGCAGGGAAGGCCCAGAATGGCCCCAGGATCCCAGCCTCAGAGGCCTGGCTGGCTCCCCGGTCAAGCCAAACCCTGTTTACCCATGGGGTTACAATTGAGCAGAGGACCCCCCAGGGGTATGACTTAGGCGTAGAGGGAGGAAGCTACATTTCTGGTCTTTTCTTTGGCGGGGGGAGGGGGACAGACAGCAGAGAACTACACAAGGCTCAAAGCCCCTCTCCCAGACATCTCCACACTGTACCCCGAGAGGGCCAAGAATAAGCAGATAAACGTCCATATGTGTGTGTGCGCGTGCATGTGTGGGTGTATACTAGGGTGCGGGGTGTTTGTGGGTGCATGCGTGCATGTGGGTGTGTGAGGGTGTGGGGCACCTGTGGGTGTGCGTGTGTGCATGTGCATGTGAGTGAGCATGTGGGTGTGTGTGAGGGTGTGGGGCACCTGTGGGTGTGCGTGCATGCGTGTGTCGGTGAGCATGAGGGTGTGGGGTCCTTGTGGATATGCATGCATGTGGGTGAGCACGTGGGTGTGTACAAGGGTGTGGGGCGTCGGTGGGTGCGTGCGTGCATGCGTGTGTCGGTGAGCATGTGGGTGTGTGTGAGGGTGTGGGGCGCCCGTGGGCGCGTGTGTGCATGTGCATGCGTGAGTGGGCTGACTGACAGGGAAGAATTCTCAGGGCCACCAGTATTGCCGGCACAGGAGTGCACTCACCACTCCGAATTTCTTGAAGTACTCCCTGAGCTCTGTCTCACCACAGTTGTGAGGAATTCCACCGACAAATATTTTATTGGATTTACTGTTATCGCTTCTGGGTCCTTTCTGCTGTATGAAAAAGGAGAAGGTGTTAGTCCGTTCAGGGACCTCAAAACATCATGTGGGTTGTCGTGACGCACCCTTCCCGCTGGTTTCAATGGTCAGTTAGAAGTGCCAACGTTTCCTCTGCTCCCACACCCCAGGCAGCCTCAGCACCCAGAGTGATCAGCAGTCGCTGGAGACACAGGCGCTCTTCTCCCCAGAGACCTGAGTGTCGCGATCTCGCAGATTCATCCACACCTGACCTGCCATCTGACTGGCCCCAGCCCGAGGACACAAAAGCCCTTCAACGTAAAGCTAGGCTTGGGAAGGTGGGAAAGGAGGTGGCACCACAGAGACAGCAATAGGAGACCTCAGGAAGCTCCAGCAGCCAAGCTCCCTCTGACCTCCCCTGACCCCAATACCTCGGCTCTCACAAGGAGACCTCACTCTGCCCAGGCCCCACTCACGGGGCTGGGAGGGGAGCCGAAGCCAAGGGCAGCCAACCCTCTGCTCTTCCTTCTGGCCTCTCACTCCCAACCACCCCCTTCCTTTCTACCCTAGGACGTTGGTCCTAAGTGTCCCCACTACCCTGGTACAGGTATACAAGAGTGCTCTCATCTCAGCTGTGGCACTGGTCCACAGGTCTTCACAGTTAATGGTTAGCAAGCTGAGAAAGCGGTTTGATTTATCACTAAAACTTACCAGTCTGCCGTAGGCCTACTGTATCTTAAGGCAGCTACTAAATGAAACTAAAGAGATTATCACGCCCAGAGGGCCTGGAGTCTTGGCTGGACCCTAGTTTAAAAAGAGCAGCTACAGGAGACAGCTGGGCAATGGTAGGAGCCACGGCACAGGTGGGCCAAAGGGCAGCAGATGCCCTGTAGATAGGTGTGGGGTGACGAGGACATGGGGCCTGTGAGGGAAGACATGACCTAAGTGCTTGGAGCTGTGCACGGATCCACTGGACAAACTGGCAGTGGGGGAGCCGGCACGGGCAGCAGGAGCTCTCCAGCTATCCCGGGCAGGGCAGTGCTTGGGAATGGGACCAACCCCTGGTTGGAGAACCACAGGCCACGACCCAGCTGGGCTAGGTAGCCCACACTGGAGCACAGGTAACAGAGGACTTGGAACGTCCACTGAGGGTCCACTGTGGTTTCACATAGGAGCTGTTGCCCCTCGTCGGAGGCTGGCACTGGCCAAGGCCACTGGGCCTGACAGAAGAGGATGGACGGATGTTGCAGCTGTCAAAGGGGGAGATGCCACAGTAGCCTAACCCACAGATCTCAGTGCAAGTCAGCAAAGGACAAAAGGAGGCTGAGCTGCTGAGTGTAGGGCAGTCAAAAGCAGACTGCTGCAAACTCTCTTGGCTAGAAGACACATGGAGTGTTAGGTAAACCTGAGCAATCCCCCACTATTCAAATGCCAAGAAGATGCCTCCAGTCACTTGCAATCACAACCAACAAAGAGCCAGCTCAGAGCCTTCCCCTCCCAGAGCCCGGACTCTTACCCAGCCTTCCTTGGGCCGCGTCCTTTCTGGCTGCATCCCTCGGGGTGTGCATGGCTTTGGGTCGATCTGTGGGAAGTTCCAACCAGGCATGAGTCAAGAGCTCTTTGCTCTCAGACAAAAGGTGTTAGTGAAGAAGCCAGAAGCACCATTGTGAACATGCGCCCCCCAGCCTGATCCCCTGCCACGCCAAGCCAAGCCCCACCCATGTCCGTTGACGTGGAGCCTGCACGAAGAAAGCCAAAGGAACAGGCAACGGAAAGGAGACAAAGAGCGCCCGAGAAGGGGACTTACGTTCCGGCCGTCCAGGGTGTGTGGTCTGCTGGCCAGCACTGTCCCCACACAGTTTGGGTCTTTAAATTTGACAAACCCAAAACCTCGAGACTGGTTGGTGGTTTTATCTTTCATAATAACACAGTCTACAACTTCTCCATATTGGGAAAAGTAGCTGCGTAGTGTCTCTGCTCAGAGAGTGGGGAGAAAAAACACAAACACACAGGACCGGAGGAATAAGCAGGAGTCTCGCGGGGGCGTGCATACACTCACATGCGTTCTCTTGCTCCTCACTTATCAGCCTTACCAGAACAGTTGGGAAGTAGCCACTTTTAACTGGCACCCCAGTAGTTCAATGGGGGGTGAAAGTAAAGGAAGGGTGGAGGCAAGTCGTGTTTACATCCATCAGAAAAGTCTAGTTTCAGGAAGTTACCATGACAACATGACAGCCTCCCCCTCCTTGGTTCTAACCCCACCACTGTCCGGCAGAAGCAGAGCCCGCAAGGGCAGTGGTGGCCCTGCGCCTCCAGGCCCCCTGCCTCCAGACCTGCCTGGCTCAGGGCCAGAAGCTGCTGGCTAAGCTTCCTGGAACGAAATGTGCAGCATCAAGAGCAAGTCCAATAATCCCAGAGCCAACGAGATGGCTGCTTTCTGCCCCACCGGGTCCCAATTCAACACTCCCAAATGAAGACCAAGTCCCAGGGACTCAAATACTGGTAGCAAGAGACTAGTTCACACAAGAAACAAGGCCCGCTAGGCTCCCATCTATACCGCTGCACCCACCTTGGGTCGTGCTCCAGTCCAGTCCGCCCACGAAGAGCTTCCTGCAACACAAACACGCACTACAGTCAGCTGCTCCTTGGCCCAGAGACCACAGTGGGGCACAGGGCTGCATGCAGACAGAAGGGATGGGCTGGCACCATGGGGACACAGGCACGGCAATGTGCGGGAGGAAGCCACAAGCACCAGGATTATGCTTACAGACGGACACTAGACTGGGGAAGCAAGCCCTGGCAACCGGCCGGGTGACGGCCCTCGGCCAAGACCAATGTGGAGGGGCTTCCCTCGACTTTCACACATGCCTCTTAATCCAGAAAAAGAATTTGGATGTTTAGATTTGAAAGACTCTGCAGCACAGGAGGCTCACACACTACAGGGGCACGCGGGCATGCACACACATGCACGCACACTTGGAACGCAGAGGCCAGCTCACAAAGACCCTCTGCACTATAGCTGGAGGGGTCGGAGACTAGAGCCTGCAGCCAGTGGGTCACCCCCAAAGTCCAGGCGCAGAACTAGAGCCCCGCCCCTGGCCCTACAGCCTGGAAGACCTGAACGATCTAGCACACAGGCATCTTACACCTCGAGGTGGTCGAGAACCCACACGCACATCCTGGCTATCTACAGAGCCTTTGACAAAAGGCTGGGATGGGATCCACCTTGGGAAGGGGCCTCAGGACAAGCCCCAAACCAATGAGGTAAAGTCAGGCACAGAGTGCCGGTGATGGTCTCCTGCTGTACGATGCCTGCTGCAACCGCCTCAGGCCGCTGCCCACCACCCTGGCCCCCCTGCACTCAGCTGTCCAGTCCCCACAGTCCCACACGACTACTTAGTCCTGCCCACTGGTGCGACACTCAGGTGCACGCAAGCCTCCCAAAGCCCAGGTGGTGGGAATGACAGATGAGGAAAGCTGGTCAGAGGGCGGAGCTACCAGCACCCTTCTCACCTGTCACCCCCTTTCCAGGAGGAAAGGGACACAAGCAACAAGGTCACATGGCTCTGGCCCACCAGGATCTCAGCTGAGCCAGACCCAGGTTCCAAGTGACCAGGCCTTTATAGGCAGAGTATGGAGCCATAGGGCCAGGGGCCTGACATATGAGAAGAATCGTGTCCCTTACCCAGCACCCCATGTTGCAGCTCCCACCCCACACTCAGCCTGGCAAACACAAGGCCCTGGCAGAAATAGTTACTGCCCCCTTCAGCAATGAGAGGAGCACACAACTGTCCTGGGCCACAGGCCCCAACAACATCCTCACGAGGACAGCCACTGCTGGCCTCTAACCAGCCCTGCACAAATGGCTGCAAGAGCTGTGTGCTTGTCTCTAAGGCCAGAAGGCTGAGCTGTGGTCTGTGTAGACAGCCTGCCCACCACCACAAAGCGCCCACTCCCGGGGGCGTAGCTGGGGACAGTGTGGTAGGCAGTGCCCAGAAACCAGATCAAGGGACAATTTTCAGGGACAACACACTGCCCTGCAGCAGCAGGAGCTCCGAGTCAGGTCTCAGGAGGCTGCTGTGCCCATCCCCTCTGCACCCCAGGAACCAGGCCACACAGCAGGGCAGCTGCTGGCACTGAGGGACACAGCACAGGAACCAGGCCACCGCCTCGCCCTGCCCCCAACGCCTCTGCCCAGGAGGAAGGAACCGGTCAGACCAGTGCAGGTCTGGGCTTCAGTGAAGTACCCAGGTTAGGTATGAAGGGGAAAGGCTGGAAGCATACTACCGGGGCACTGACAACTAAACCCACCTGGGATCAGGGGATGGAGTTTCTGTCCATGCGGCGACTCCAGCCTGGGGCAGGACCTGCACCAAGAGCCTCATGCATTACCTCAGTCTCCAGCACACACACATGGGGAGATGGCGCCTGCACGCACACAAACGGGACAAGGCGCAGTCCTGGGGAGCCCACAGGTCAGGCACGTGGGGACAGTCACACTGCTCACACGACGCATCTGTAAGCTGAAAGCTACAGAAGGATCTTCGTGTGGAGCACCAGCATTTATGTTTCCTCTGACCCAACAGTGGTACTGCTTCTGGTCCTGGGGACACAGCCCCCGACACCTTTCTTCACAGACCTGCTTGTTACTGAGGGAGGATGAGGAGCCTAAGCCAGCACCAGGCAAGGGGCTGCACACATTAGTGCTCCCTTCACTCCTGCTCAGGACCAGCACTGGGGGAGGCATGTTCTCCCCAAAAGTCCTCGAGGGTTCCAGGAGGACCTGTCACCGTGTGCTGGCAGGGTCATGCCAGAGCCCAGCACTGGGCACAAAGTTCAACCTATCAAACCAGAGTGGTCTCTCCCGGCTGCCACCTTCCCAGTGTATTACGATGCAAGAGTGGGAGTGGGCCCGCCCTCACAGCTTTCACAAGAAGGGGCTCTGGGGAGGGCCCAATGCCCAGATGCCTGCCCAGCAAGTGACAGCCCTCTGCACAAGCAGCTCTAGTGGAGGTCCCACGGCTGGCCAGCCACACGGGGCTGGGGGCCTTCGTCAATCAGCTCACTTGGATGGCATTGCCAGTGAACCAGTCAATGGCCGAGGCCCCCCCCAGTGATAACTGCTCAGACCGGAAACCTGCCTGGGCACTGTGCCGAGCTAAGTTCTAGTGGGTATTCATTTACACACTGGGCAATGCCGATCGAGGGGTGAGCTAAACACACAAAACTGCCCAGCCCCTGCATGGCCTCCACAGTGGGCTGATGGGCTGGAGGTCGCCAGATGGTCAGCAGCACCTCCAACACAGCCCCTCCCTCCCACGAGCAGCGGCTCTGGTGCGGGCCCACCTCACACTCTGGCCCTCACGAACTTCCCAGCAGGACGTGGATTGCCCTTTAGCCCAAAGTCTGGGAGTTTCACCATGTAGGCCTGTCCCCCAAGCCCTGTCTGTCACTGCCAGAGACTAACTCAGCGTCTGTCAGCCTGCACGGCCCCCTGGGCCTAAAACACAACACGGGGACTCTTCCCTACCCCAACCCCAGCCTTGCCAAGGTCACATACAGGCACACCACGTGAACTGTGCACCCTCATCCTGGAGCCACTAGGCAGGCACCACTGAGGGTACACCCCCTCCTGCTTGTGGTACCCAAACCTTCTGGTGTGTGGTGAATTACTCAATCTGGCCCTTCTAGCCATGATCTTTTTAACACCCACCAAACAACTCGGTGGAACTATGCAAATAAGGTGACTGTGGCCCACCAAGGACTGGACAACTTGCTACTAATACAAATGAAGTTCATGGTACCTTGTGAGGGCGGCCCATGCAAGTAAGATACAGGAAACGCTCTAATGAGGGGCAGGGACAGCTTCACCATCCCACTAGCTTTACAATGAGGCACGGGGGGCAGGGGAAGGAGCAGGACCTTATGACCACCCGGAAAGAAGAGCGGGGAGGGGGGCACATCTTTCAGACCTGGGATCCCTGTGCTGAGAACCCTCTTGATCCAGGAGTCAGAGCTGTAATAGCAGAGCTGACAAGAGCCAGTAAGAAGCAGTGGTAGAAACGGCGGCAGCAGAGCCTAGAGACGGGCAGGGGCAGTGCGGCGGTATGCCCCATGGAGCAGAAGCCAAAGATGGGCAAGGGACAGTGAGCAGAGCGATAGCGCGCAGTGTCTTCAGGGCGAGGCTTCCTGTGGGCTGTGGGGGGCCTCTAGGCATTTACGGGCACAGCTAAGAAAGCTTTGTAATACTTGCCTGAGCAGGGCAGAAGCCAAAGGACTGAAGGGCAGAGAGACCTGGTTATGGGCACGGCCGAGGGTGGCTGTCCTGACCCAAGAACCATATCCTGAGTTGTTCACGATCCTGAACTGTAACCTGTTACCTCCGTAATAAACCCCATCATCGTGACTACTGTCTGTGAGTTCTGTGTGGCCACTGCAATGAATTATAAAACCCAGCAGACAAGTAGAGAGTGCTGTGGGAGGGCTGGCTGGTCAGAATGGTGAAAGGGTTGGAGAGTGGCGGCATGTCACAGGAACCAGCCTTGGGCAGCAGATGCAGAGAATGGTCCCCTTCCCCACATCAGAGGGCAAATGTCCCTCTGCCAGGCCATTCTTATACCTGGCCTTGGACGACAGCTATCCCTGGGTGACTACCACCCTTGCTCTGTGTCAGAGGGCAACCATGGTGGCTGTGCCAGGAAGTGAGTCCTCAGAGGGCTTCCTGTGTGCCTGTACCAACCCTGATGGCACCCAGGGCCTGTCTCCTAGGCAGTAGCTGGCAAGCTTCCCAGGTGACAGGCCCGCCGCACCCTGAGGGCACCCTGCCAGCCACACGGCTTGGGCTGAGGCACATTTCAGGGCCACTGGGAGCCGCATTGGGCCCTTCCTTCCCATGCGCCCAGCACCAGCCATGGTCCACCCGGCACAGAGCAGGTGGCTGCCATAAAGGGTCGCGGTAGATGGCTTATGGGGAGCATTGCCCTCCCGGCCCCAGTGGACCTCCCCCTCACAGGAGCAGGGGGCAAAGGTCTGCCCCAACTGCAACTGTGCTGCCAATGTGCTTTCCTTCTCAAAGAACTAAAGACCCAGCCTAGGCTCAAAACACGTGTGCCTCTGAATGGGGACACACAAGGACCTAATCTCCCACAGTACTCGGAAGCATCTTGTGGGTCCTCACTTTCCCCACATGGAAGCAGGCACTGGGAATGGCACAAACCACACTGCCAGGCCTGGAAAGCGGGTTGCCGTGAGCCCACGCCTGCCACCCGCCCCTGTGGCCCCGTTCTCTTTTCATCCTCCATAACTGTAGGGCCCACAGGACTCAAGAAACCCCATAGACTGCCGTGGGCTCTGAAAGCATAGCCCTGGCATCCAGGGCACTCTGAAGCCCACCTGCACATTCACCTGGGCCCAACTGCAGCCCACAGGCTCCCCAGGTGCCTCCAGAGCTGGCGGGTCATGGGCACCAGGCTCAGATGAGAGTAGCACCCAACCAGACTGAGGACAATAGCATCTCTGATCTAGTCTGCAGAGGGGACACAGCTGGGCCAAGCCAGCCACTCTCACTCAGTCACGAGGGAGCAAAGCTCCCCCGCTTCTGGGGT